TCCCAGCAACGACGCAGTAAACCGAAATTAGTGACCATATCGAGGAACGGAGGTTGTCAGATAATGAAAAACCTTGTTTTAAAAGCGCTTAAAATTTATACAGTGAGTGGCAACAGTAACGGAATGTCCATTAATGGGAATATCGATGGAGTTCCTTGCGATATGATCATTGACACAGGAGCTAATGTTACCATCATTAGGAAAGATTTAGCTGAACAGTTTAAAGATAAACTTATTTGGACGCCATCCTGTGTTACCCTTCCCTTCAGACTGTGTCTGGTGACAAGATCGACATAGCTGGGAAGTTAAACGTAAGCATCACGTTTTGGAAGTGCCGCCTACCATCACACGCGGCTTATGTGGCGAATATTACAGATCCATGCATACTCGGATTGGACTTTTTAATCGGAAATGGACAATTTTTCCTTAGACTTCAAAAACAACAAAATGCTTTCAGCATCTTGGTGACATGACTATCCATCCTCAGAAGAGATCCTCACCTTGGAAATGCCGACGCCTTGTCCGAAAGACCCAGCTCGGGAAGCCGCCGAAATCATACCGGGGTCGAAAACGAAACGCAAGACTACCAGCTATTCTCCATCTCAGAAGCTCTCCGGTCGAGACCTTCGTCTGCCTTGTGACCGCCTGTTTGATCGCCATACGGATGCGCCTTCATTGCCTGAGGAACACATCCAAGACGCCCAGGCCCGGTTTGAGGGGATGCACCGTTCTGCACGAAAGCGAGTCAACTTGGCGACGGAGAAAATGAAGACCAGATGCGACACAAAGAGCTACTAGACATAGATCCAACGAAAGGAGACAAGGTGTGGTTGTGGAACCCGATTCAACGAAAAGGACTGAGTCCTAAATTACAGTCACCTTCGGATGGTCCATATACAGCGCTGAACACGAATGACGTCGTGGTTCGGATCCGTGAGTCTTCGAACTCTTACGACAGGTTAGCTCGTTCGTTACTATGGGCCATAGTACATAATGTAAATAATTGTAAATAGTATTAGACCATGGTCCTTTTTGTTTATAAATTTGTATTTAGTATTGATTTGCATTTAGTATTTGATTTGTATTTAGTATTTTGATTTGGCATTTAGTATTTGTTTTATATTTAGTATTTGATAGCATTTGATTTGTTCAAGTTAGTTATTGCATTTATTGTTCATGTTGTTTGATATTGTAATGTAATGTTTATGCCACAGTTGTAAGTTTAGCTTCCTGTCCAGGGATTGTACTGACCGGGACGTGCAGTCCTTGGGAAGGGGGCAGTGTTACGAATTTGGTATTTAAAAAGCTAATGTTAGTTCAATTATAAATTAAATGGTTTTATTTCTCGCGCAGTGCAGCGCGTGACGAATATTAAAAGAAAGCTAAGCCGGAAAATTGAAAATACAAGAGCGCGTGCATTAAATAAATAAATAACTCTTTTTCATTTCCAGAAAGTACTGGAAAATTCTAGCGCGTGATTTTAAAATGTTATAAAAGGAGGAAAACATCTCAGTTCGTAGTAGTTGCTTAGTTTGTTGTTGTTTAGAAAAACTACTGTTGTTGATTGTAGCGAATTCGCGGATTAGCGTTCTTTAGCTGTTTTTAAATTACGTTCTATTGGACATTTTAGTAGTTAAAAGAAAACTACTGTGAGATATTGTAATACTGCGTGATAATTTGAGAAAATTTAAGCATTTTTGTTGTGATAATAATAAATTTTTGTTCATTTTTCATCGGACTTGTGCATTCATTTAGTAACGAATCCGTACGCACGCAACAATATTAAAACTTTTTGTTCCTTTAAAATCAATAATAAGAAAGTAATAGAAACGTTGCCTCATTAAAGTTTTCGTACATTTTTAAGAAATCTGCACATTTGCAGTATTTATGACAGCTTTCAAACGCCTGGGCATACAGTTCCTCACCTTTTTTCTTTCTTGTGTAATATTTGCATCAATGTTTATTCTTCCATCATTGCTGTTTTCAGTTTTTGTTTTAATATTGTGTCTTTGTACCCTTACCTCTAATGTGCTCCAGATGTCTTCTGTTCGGTTTAAACTTCTGTCTGGTGACTGAGGTAGTGTTTTCAGAATTTGTAGACAATTATAGATGCTCAAAAGGCATACGTTGAGGGCTATATGCTTAAGATCGTTACCATGATAATAAATAAAATTGCTTCCAGTACTCAAATTTTGGGTGGATAATTTAAAATTATCTTTTAAAGTATTTAAATAAAGATCATGGTTCATTATGCCCTCAATAAATATTAAATTCCTGATGTTGACATGCACTCTCACACAAGAACCCCTCCATTGCCATCCTTTAATGTTCCAACCAAGGTCTTGGGATTAAGCTCCTCATTTTTTTTCTCCATATAATTAATTACATACTCATCAGAATACAAAATGTTAAATTTGCTTTCATCTGCAAATAAGATATAATTCCAATATGCTCTAGGCTTTTATCATTGATTTTGAGAAGAGAAGCCCAAGTTTTCTATTTTTTGCACTTCCAGAAAAAAATTTTTTGAGCAGAGCGCGTATGTAATTCAGCTGATCTGAGTCTTGTTGAACAAATTTAACTGAAATTGAAGTAGAAAATTTTTCCTTGAATTCTGTAGAAATCTTTACAACACTCAACGGTGGATTTTTTTCACATTTTTCTAACAATAAATCTTTGATCATGCTGAGTCATGTACTTTGACGGATAATCTCTTCTTACTTTATTTTGAATCCAATTTTCTTCTTTAAAGCATTTTATCACATACTGCAGTGTAGAATGGGATAAATTTACTAACTTAGTGATATCCCAAATCTTTCCATTTTTATGATAAAAAATTATCAGTTTTCGACTATGAAATTTTATTGTTTCCTTATGACTATGAGCCATTTTTAAACATTAAATAAAATATAACAAAGTAAGCAAGCAAAAAATAAAGCCAAACAATTTTTAAACAACACCAAAATGCAAAAATAAAAAAAAAAAAAAAATGATAGACGATAATTTTATTTATGAAAATGTTTTTGTGTACGATCACTTTTGAGGCTTGTTTTATCTATGCCTCCTTATATTTTAAATTTTAGAAAAAGAAAATAAGTCAGTATTATAAATTTAAAACTTTGGTCTTATTCAAAATCACATAGAGATATGAAAAAATATTGGGCTTCATATTGAAATTCAGTTCCGGATTACAGCGCTTTTTCTGCAAATTCTTAAAAGTGTGCAGACACTTTTGGGAGACACTGTGTATGGTAACTTTTGATATCGTCTAAAAATATTTTATGTAGCATCCTCCCAGATAGCTTCTCACACGTCTAGACATTTTCTCCAGTACAACTGCAGATTTTGGTCCCTCTGGGGATTTTAGCATGTGTTTATTAACCGCAGACTGTGGTTTCTGCCTTCTGAAAAATCTTGGACTTAACTTTCTGTACACATAAAGCAAAATGTGTCTTGTTTATGGATATAATGTGCCATTTTTTCTCCTTATTTTAGACTTTTGGTGCCTAGGTAGTGAGTTTTTTGTGCTAATTTTAGTAGCAAAACAGAACATTTATGGTATAATGTGGATCTTCATTCATCAGGGGGAAAAAATTAATAATTTTATCATGTGTTTTATTTTATTTGTGGCAAAATGAGAAAATTAACTGATATAAGTATATAAACTGCAGAGCTGCAAAAGCATATAAGTTTTCGAATTTCTTAAGTGAAAATTACATATTTGGATGAAATTATTACTTTCATGATTTACCGTAGTTTTGTGTCATATAAATTCCATGAACTTATTTAGACCCAGTAGTGGATAAGGCAGCTAATTCATCCTTGGGTGGAATTTCCATGAAAAGGTTGGCTGCTTGAAATTTTTTTCAGGTTAAAGTTAATGCAAAGTAATTTTCCTTAAATAGTCCTTCATGTACGTAGTTAATCCTCATTTGCCTTGATTAATCCTTAACCATCCTCTAAGCTTGTAGTTGATATTTATTTAGCATAACAAATATTTGAAACACACTTAAAAATTTACTATATTTTTTGATAGTTAACCATTTCATTTGTTACAGTATTACAAATTATCATATAAATGATTTAGCATTATTTTTATTCTAATTGTTCATATTACTCATTTTTTATGTATATAAACAATAAATATTCAATAACACTTATCTCTTGTAATTCTTTAATCTGTTTGTATGCTCATACTTCTATTACAATAAATATATTATTCTTATTACTAGCAAATGGTTTTACCTTTCTAGCAATAAAATATTTACTATTTTCAGGGTTTAAAGCAAAATGTGTTGACTTGTTCAATATTAAATGCTGAAAAACATTCCACTATCAGAGTTCTAGATGGCGTCTGAAACTTTTAAATAATTTCATAATTCTTCACTTTCAACTTAAATTAGTTTCTTGTGATTATTTGCTATTTAAATTTACACAGTGAAATAAAAATGATTTGGCATATGAATCCACAGATTTCATCTTATGTTAGTTAAAAGTTTTGTGTCCTGAAATGTATCATTTTGGTTCAAATGTAATCATTAGTTTCGTGCTATCAATTAATAAAAATTTACATTAAAAATCAGAAAAAGTTCAAGATAAAAAAATCACGAAAGTGCAACTTTCAATCGATATTGATTTAAAATAAAGTGGTCAAAAAGTTACACAAATTGGTGAATAGTGAAGTTACACTGGACAATATTTCCTGCTGTAATATTAGCTAATACTATTAATTTCCAAAGGCAGTAAATATCTGACTAGCCGTTAGTGAAGGTAGGAATCTGACTGTAAATACCCATGTATATTAATATTTACCATCATCTGACATTGCATATCTAAATATTTTGACTTCAAAGATTTTACTTTGAAATATTTCAGTTGTAATACTTTTTAAAATTATCTGCTAATAAATTAATATACAAATATACTTAATTATTTTGATAAATTAATTTGTTAATTAGGAAAAAGATTTATAATTTGAATATCATTTATAAAAATACTCATTTCAGTAATAAACAATACATTCTAAAATTTTATTTAAAATGGCAACTATCAGACTATATACAAAATATCATACAAGTCATCATTTAAAAAAATGAATTATGCAAGCTTGTCAAAATCTTTTAGCAATACAATTCTGACTGTTACTTGCATGATTAGAAATGCATTATCACAGAGCTCATAAAAAGGATGAACATATTCAAAAAAAACTGCTATGTTGTAGTCCATATTTTTCAAAATATCAGTCCAAAATTTGTATTTCAATATGAGTGACTTGCAGTACCTTCATATGTATCAATACTATACAAATATGGTATATACAAAGTATGGCATAACAAACAATTTATCAGAAAACCAAAGGTGATGCAAATTTTACGAAACTGAATGAAAAGAACTTATAATAGAATTAAATATGCAACAAAAATTTAAAAAAATCTGCATTTTGAAAATATTCTTTGATGTTATTCCTAATGACTTTAATTAAACATAACAATGCATACACATTTCAAAATAACAAATTCAACGTAAGATTGCTATACTTTAAATGGTAGATATTTCACTTTTCAAATTTTTAAGCTTTTAATCTGAATAATGCTGGAAATTTTACATTAGTATTTCTCCTGCAGCTTAAGGCATCTACATTTTTCATACTGAGACTTATAAATAATAATACATGCATTTAATTACCATTAACAAAATCTTTATTTAATGATGGCATACGTAGATGCTACATATTAGGATCACTCAGAACAAAACAAGGCAATATAAATCTGAAACATGTTAAAAACACCTATCCTAATCAATCAATTAAAAGATAAGTTCTGGGATACGATATGAAAAACTAAGACATACATAAATGTATCAGCTAAAAGATGTACCCTAATAAAAATTAATAGCTTTTCAAAATCTTCCAAGAAACAAGGAGAGAACTCCTTGCATTAACAAGATTTACTTACTATTATTTTACATTTATATTAGTACATTATAGATTTTTCTTAAATATATCAACCTTAAACTTTTATAATATCCTTGAATTCCTATATGTTCATATCTTGCATAAAATGTTTGATAAAACGCGATCTATCGTTCCATAATATAAACAAATTTACCAAATTTTTGTACTGGATAACTGAAAATAGGCATTATTTTTTAATTACATGTGCAGCAGATGCAATGTTTCCTCACATTTCTATGAATAGTAGTTACAATGTAGTACAGAAAAGGGTGAATACAAACTACCAACTGTCCAGTGAAAAATCACTTGACGGCTTTTCTGATACAAAGATGTAATTTTTATACATGCAATTTCTTGACTCATTACAGAACCTTATTAGAACCAAAAATTACATTATTAAAAAAGGCAAATTCATATATTTTTGATTGATCGATTAAACACGAGTTACTATCACACTAATGATCAAAGTAAAGCTGCTCAGACGGTATAGTGGTTGGGAAGCCTCACTGTGATATCGTACGGCCCAGGTTCAAATCGCGAAGAAAGCATGGATGTAAATTGTTTGTCCCTTCATAGGAGGTAAAGGTGGCCCACCTATTAGGTGCAGGTGCCTCCATAATAAAGAGAGCACCAGATCTGGCCTTAGGAGTAGCCAATGTTGGCACAGGCAAGTGCCCACCATTGGAAAAAAAAATGATCAAAGTAAATAGCATCTATGTTTTCTGAGTGTAAAAATTTAAATTCATATTTCATTTCATACCTGACTATATATAAATTTGCTTAAATATTACAAAAAGTTTTAGAATTTTGTTTTTAACTATTTCTTACATAGATCATATCATATACCAAGATTTCTGTTACAATAGAAAAATATTAAAAAATAATTTTTTCCAAATAAAAATATCAATTACTAAAAATTTCATAAAATGATGCAAGTGAAACACAATATGAGTGAATAAGAATTTGAATACATATGAAATACTTCAGCATATCTAACTAGCAGCTTAATCATTATAATAAATGATTATTAAAGAAATTGTTACCATTTTAAGGCACAAAATTGTTTGCATTTGAAAGCTACATTTTCTTATCTTGGCTAATGATACACTGAATGAATTCTGATTCTGATCATGGTAATGCTAAATGAAGGCACAAAGTATTTATTACTTTTGGAACGAATGCTTGAGGAAAAAAAATGCTGTTTTCACAAATGCACAACCATGACACTCATAAGCCATGGGCAACCATAATTTGGCATCCCTTTTTCACATGTTCCATTACCTGTTGCTTGAGATTACATACTTGTTCACGTAAAGAATCTGCCACTGCCTCTAGCTTCGAATTTTCTCCTTTGAGTTCTTTCACCTTCTGTTCTAGCTGAGATATTTTTTCTAATTTTCGTTTTCTACACTTGCTAGCTGCAATGCGGTTACGATGACGTTTCCTTTCCAATTTGATGCGTTCCTGATCTGCCATATCAATAGGAGCATTACACAAAGGAGAGACTGGTGGACTTGAAAAGTCATTTGGAACTGTCTGAAGTTCTTCTTTGATGGCAATGTCTATGGGAACTGGCAAACTGTTGCTGTTACAGCTATTACTACTGGTGTTATCCACGGACGGAGGTCTAATAATAGGTGCCGTTGTTTGTAACACACTTTTTCCAGATGATTTAATGACACTGGCTGTTGTCATAGGTTGAAAGTAGAATGGCACAACTCCTGGATAAAGTTTTGCTAGAGTACCTGAGTTGTTTTCTGAAGTTAGCAGGTCAGTACTTTGTTCCAAAGAAGTTTTTTGATTATGATGCAACTCATTCAATGCATCAAGGAAACCTCTAGCATACTGTTCTTGTTCTGCAGTGACATTTTTTGGAAACAGTACTTGCGATGGAGTGGGTGTAGACAAATTACCATTAGCTAAATTAGCTATGATGAATCTTTCGAGTTCTGGTGATCCTAGCTTCAGCATGTTTAGATCCGGAGACGTAAGCAGAGCATTGACTTTCTGTTTTTTGGTAGCAGCACCAGGATCCAAATCTAAGGTAGCAGGGCGTTTCAGACTCTTACCATCATTTTTTACGAAACGAAATTGGGAATCGTCGTAAAACGTCATCTCCATGATACTCGTTTTTACTGATGATTATCGCTCACTGATTACGACTGTATTACAGTTACTTGATATTTTGTAAACTCCCAATTCAAAATCAGTTTATAATGTTAGGCATAACAATAGCAAAGATACTTCCACTACGCTAGTATACAGTCGTCAAATGAAGATGTTTTCAAAAAATACACACTTTTCGAATCTCGATCGCACAACAACGTGGAGTAACATGAGTCACTAAATTTTGCACCCAGATGAGCTTATAACGCTGAGTCACCAAAAACGACTATGCAGTGACATCACATAAGAGCATTCTTATTGGTTACTGATGACATCACTATATTTACCGGCGCCCAATAAAAATGCGAATAAAGAAGCAGACCAGAACGTCAGACAATGACGTATCTACATCCTTACACTTGTCACACCCCTTGCTTCGCAAATGTCCGAGAACTCGTTATGAAGGTTCCGCGAAACGGTACGTTCCATGGGCTGCTTGCTTTAATAATTTAAAATATTTAAACAGTGTATTTAGACTTAATTTCTAGAATGAAAAGTGAGGTTCTAACAGACAGAAAGCGACATTAAAATAATTCTAAAATTCATCTAAATCTTTCTAGCAGGGGAGCATCTGTCCCCGGGCGCAGAATCCAAGGGGCGCCAAACTGATGTTACGACATTATAGAATTAAATGTTTTCCATCCTTGGCAAGCAGTAGGGGGCGCGAAATCTTCAGTTGTCCCTAGGCGCTGAAAACCCTAGCTACGACTCTGCTTTCGAGCGCCCTTCCAATCTGAACAATTCAAATTACAGCCTAACGCTTCGAAGAAGAATTTTAAATATTTCAAAATTTTAAAAAGCTGACATGACTCAGAATCAGTGATTCTTTCGTTTTACCTTCGAAGTTATTAACTGTTCATTTATCAGTCACTCTATTAGTTTTTTCAATTTCTTTTTAAAAAATTTTTAGGTGTTTAAATTTAAGTCGAAAATTAACATCGCATGGAAATCTTGCACTAAATTAAATAATTTATTAAATAACATAATTATTTTATAAAGTATAATTGATTTCAATTGTTATCTTTCCTTTGATTGAATCATTTGCGTACAAGGGTTGCAACAAATGTTAAGTGACAATATTTTGCAGGACAAAAATTCGCAAGTGACAATATTTTGCCGGACAAAAATTCAAAAAATTTCTTCTTAGAGGTATTTAAAAAATAAATAAAAGGGCGGGGAAAAAAGAAAGAAACTGTTGTTACAAAATTAAATTTCAGTATTTCATTCAAGTTTAATTACCTATTCTGGTTAAAATGCATTTGTAGCACTTTATCAAGGGGTTGACAATTTTATTAGCCCGAATGGTCTACTAGTCCCGAAACGGAATTCTGCATCGTCCACTATAAACGGTGAATCAATTTTCAAATTATTGCTCCTAAATATTATCGCCCCGTATAATTTTTAAAGAAATTAAAATAACGAAGAATCTGCATGTATGTATGTTCCTCGCATTGTGAAAAAACGAGGGTACCTAGAGCTACCAAATTTTGAATAACGTAGTTCTCCACGCGAACATTTGCATTTGGCAGTCCGCATTTTGAATTTTGAATTTTATATTTCATATTTTATAAAACATTAATAAATTTTTAACAAACCCAACAATTTGAAAGCGAGCAGTGGATTAAAGCATTTTTCTGACCGGCGCGCGACACTGTGTATAGGAAATTCTAGAGATATGATGTTTTTAAATATTTTGTGACATTGCTGTTGAATTGAATTGTGGCGTAATGGCAAAGGAAATTATATTTAATAAATTTAACACATGAAACATTAATAACAAAAACAAAGTTTTTCAAGTCATCTTACTAAGAAAATTGAACAATGATAAGATAAACTGAGAAAATACTGAAAAAAAAAAAATGAAAAATTGTATGTTAACACTTAACACTGCATCTTTAATTCTAAAAATATGCTACTGTGTTACTTTCGAAATTTTCGTAATTGTTCTGTTGAGCTTATGGGGTAAGTGCGAAAAAAATGGCGCTCAATAATAAAGCTAAAAGGAAATGGGTTGGCAGGACTGAGTGCAATAGCAGACTGGTGGACTGCAAGCTCAGCGCGAACTTTAAAAAAAAAAAAAAAAAAAAAAAAAAAACTTTACAAATCTTTTTGGACGATCGTTAAAATCTGAACCCTTTCAGACATTATCTTTCTTTTTTGTTATTTGGATGATGTGTTATGGATCAGAAAATTGCAAGAAAATTTTTTTATTTTTTTAAATTTGCTACATACAAACAAATAGTCAAAAACAGTATTAGGACATTTGCGTTTTTGCTAAAGGATGTTATGAAATAGTTTTAAATAGTAATTAAAGCTATCATATCAGCAACGATACCATATGTAACAATTTCATTTTTAAGTAATGTCAATCAGTGAATGGATGGATAAAACTGCTGAAAGGTGACATTTTCATAGCTTTTCCCATGTACACCAGCTAGTGTTCCGTAGAAACTCCTGCACAAAGGCATCGCTTCCCGTACGCAAATGGCCCTCGCGGGCTGTTTACACGAATTTCATTCATATATGCTAATTTTTATATGCTCCCTTTCACCTTGGCATCAGAGTTTTGACATTCAAAAACTGATGCTACCTTATTATAAAAAGAATGATATCATAACTCAAATACTAAAAAAAAATCGAACGAGATTAAAATGCTTTAACTGACCTTCGGGTAATAAAAAAACACGAAATTAAAAAAACTTTGGAATTACAAGTAACCCTTCTTTGCCGCGTGTGTTTTCTTGGGTTAAGAAGCAAAAAGGATCTCCTCTGAAAAAATGCTTTACAAATAAATAAATAAAACTTTTTATTAAATAAGCATTTATTTAAAACTCGTAAAATAATTAATGTATTAAAACAGGAAAAATAATTTATCGTATAGTTTAATAGAAACAAGAGGTTAAAAAATTATTTTTACAAAATTATTCACAGTTTTATATCACGAAAAATAAAAGGATGAGGCGGCGTTGATAAATTTATAATGGCATTTCTCGATACATACCAAATTTATAATCCATCTGCGAGGTAGACAGAATGACATTGCAGAAGCAATAATTCGTTCAGTAACGCCTCTAATCGACCTTACAAGAGTCATAACTTTACGACCAGTGTCGAGATTTAGCACTGTGTCATCGAAGTCTCTCGATTTCAGGGAGGCTGACAGACGAATGATCCTGCTGTTCCTCTGATATCGTTTCAACAATAATGAATCAGAAGACGTAAAATCCAACTGAATAATTAAGAGGATATGACTAATTAAGTCTATAGATTGTTTCAGATAGAGCAACAGTGATCAGCGTTAAACGAAACTGTAACACTCCAGAATCCGTGTCATCAGAGGTATTGCAGAGGTATTACATCGGAAGTATTGCAGAATGCACAATTAAACGATTAAGAGAGGAATGCTGCCGAACGTGTCATTCAAGATGTTTTCTCCGCTCGTTTTCTGACGTGGGACGAATCAGTTTGACACAGCATATAATCGATACTGTCGTTCATCCACCAATTAAGAAATATCCGAGACGTCTACAGATTGCTAAACAGGCAGAAGTGGGAAAACTTCTAAAGGACATGCAAGAAAGCGATGTCATTGAGCCTTCAACAAGTCCATGGACATCTTCCATCGTCCTGGTTAGAAAGAAAGACAGTTCAACTATTTGCTTTGACTATCGTCGTTTGAAGAAGGTTACTAAGAAAGACAGTTATACTCTTCCTAGAATTGATGTCATTCTCGAAACTCTATTTGGAAGCAAGTGGTGGTTTGGTAAAGCACTAGATTTAAAAAATGGATATTGGCAGGTAGACATACACTCTTAGACAAAAAAAAAAAAAAAACGACGCACCAAGAAGGACTTATCCGAATGGGACGAAAATCGGTAGAAGTGATGTACATGTACAGAAAAACAAATGATTACAGTTTGAGAAAAATTGGATGATTTATTGAAGTGATAGACCTTCACAAAGTGAAAAAGGTCAGTAACGCATTTGTCCACCTGTGGCCCTTAAGCAAGTTATTAGGCTTGGCGTCAATTGATAGAGGTTGCGGATGTCCTCCTGAAGGATATCGTGACAAATTCTGTCCAACTGGCGCGTTAGATCGTCAATATCCCGAGCTGGTTGGAAGGCCCTGCTCGTAATGCTCCAAACGTGCTGAATAAGAGAGAGATCCGACGACTTTGCTGGCCAAGGTAATGTTCGGCAAGCACTAAGGCAAGCAGTAGAAACATGTGCAGTGTGGGGGCGGGCATTGTCTTTCTGAACTGTAAGCCCAGGATGACGTGACATGAAGGGCAACACAACGGGTCTTAGAACTTCGCCGACGTACCGTTGTGCTGTAAGGTTGCGACGGATGACAACCAAATGGGTCCTACTATGAAATGAAATGGTACCCCAGACCATCACTCCTGGTTGTCGGCCTGTCTGCCGGAAGATAGTCAGGTTGGTATCGCACCGCTGTCCGGGGGCCTCTCCAGACTCGCCTTCGCTGGTCATCGGGCCTCAGTTCAAAGCGGGACTCATCACTGAAGACTATTCTACTCCAGTCAGTGACATTCCGGTACGAATGAGCCCGACACCACTCACTGCAAACGGGCTTGACGTTGTACAGAGGTCAATGGTAGTCGGCGCAAGTGGCGCCGTGACCTCAGCCCCCTTTCTGTGATCAGAGTCGTAGCTAGGGTTTTCAGCGCCCAGGGACAACTGAAGATTTCGCGCCCCCTGCTGCTTGCCAAGGATGGAAAACATTTAATTCTAAAATGTCGTAACATCAGTTTGGGGGCTCCTTGGATTCTGCGCCCGGGGACAGATGCCCCCCTTGCCCCCCTCTAGCTACGCCCCTGTCTGTGAGCCGTCTATGAATGGTCCTTGCGGTCACTGAAGTATTAGTTGCACGCACAATCGATGATAATGATGCATCTGGGGCTGTGAGTGCCGCTCTGATGATTGCTCGGTCTTCACGTTCTGTTGTTTCTCTAGGCTTACCGCTTCATTCTTGGCGCTGTGTGCGGCCATGGTTCACCCATTCCTGCCAACATCGTCTGACAGTGGCGTCGCTCTTGTTCAAATGTCGGGCTATTCGCCGATAAGACCAACCGTCTTCTTTGAGCCCAACTACACGATGTCTCTCAAATTCTGACGTCTGCGCATATCGTTCGCGTACCTGTATGCGAGGTATAATTACTGTCTACCAGAGTACA